TCTGTTTGACATTAAACGTATAGTCTGTTAATTTATATGTTCATTTTGTATGTTGTTTACTAAATCGACCTTGAATCACAAGAGCATGCCTCAATCTCTTAGCAGAAATTTGAAGTTAAGGAAGGCTTTCCATAGCCGGCTTCTGTTTTTCTTTTTTTAATTTAAGTCTCATACAAAGGTAAAACTTTCACATTCTTTCCTTTGGCTGCTTTACTGTTGAGGGTTTTGGTTTGTATACCCACTAATTGCAACTTTGTTGTGGTACATATAGTTTTGGATCCATTGAAACTCTGATGTATTATTGATGGATGCCGAAAATTGACCAGTTATTGGTTTTTGTTAACTTTCAAGCTCATATATAACTGATTCTGGAATTTGATGAGTTGGAAGGTTAATTACCTAGCCTATCCATATTCCATATTCTTGGCTGATGGTGGAACTCCTAGATAAATAGAAGTTCTTATCTCTATTTGTTTCTCTGCGCATCTCTTCAGTTTCCCATGCCAAATTGATTTTAAATGAACTTGAAGCATTAGTTTGGTGTTGTTCACCAAGAATGGTGTATAATGTCCATACATTTTGATTTAGTATAACTATTTTTATTAATTTTATTTGCTTACGTCATGTTCAAATTGATAAGCTACTAAGCTAATGAAAAATCCTTGTAACTAAACTAGCGTGAAGAAGTCCTTCCGCCATAACCTTTTAGTCGACCAAAGAAAAATGCAAGTGAAAGTACCAATTTTATTAACATGCTAATATCTAATGGATCAGAAACTATATATTTCTTAGTTGTAGTAAAAGTATTTAAAATATGTATTAATAGATTAATATATATTCAATTTTTTTTTAGCTTAGCATGAGTTGTAGATTTGAGCTTAGCATGAGTTGTGCTATCTTCACAAGTATGAATATGTAATATCATAGTCTAAAATATAAAACTAAGAGTATAATATTTGATAAAATAAACATGCTATTTTATTCGTTGTCACTGTAAATTTGTGATTGAGTAAAGGTTAGGGATAGAGCATTTAATGTTTATTTTGGGTAAATTGTGGAGAGTTTTGTTGAGGAAATCTGAAGGGAATTTGATGTGCGTTATTGTGGAGGGAATTTGCTAGTTTGTTTTTTATTGTGGGGAATTTGATGTGCGTTATTGTGGGGAATTTGCTAGTTCGTCTTTTACTGTGGGGAAATCTGGAGGGAATTTGATGTGCGTTATTGCTAGTTTGTTTTTTATTGTGGGGACTTTGTTTTTTCACTCTCTACAGAAGTTAGAGAAGTTTTAACTTTCTTGTGGTTTGCGAGGCGGGGCGGGGCGGGGTAGCTCCCAGGCCTGGTATGGGGCCAACCTCCAGGGCGGGTCTATGGGGCAAGTGTGCGGTCCAGGTTCGGGTAAAGCCCTGGGACTGTCGGTCTTTTATTACAAAATGAAGCAAATTACCTAAAATGTGAGAACTTAACGTATATAGCTAACAATGTCTAAAGAAAACACTTTTTTTTTTTGCATAACAAAAGTAAACATAAGAAAAACTTAACGTATATAGCTAACAATGTCTAAATAAAACACTTTTTTTTTTTTCAAAACAACAAAAGTAAACATAAGAAAAAACTTATTTTTTTTGCAAAACAATGGAAGTAAACATAACCCAATGTTATGCTAGGTTTATTATCATGAGATATTATCATGAAATACAGTTGTTTTCTACTACCAAAGACTAACATTAATAATTCAACGATCTTTAACAAAAAGAAAAAAAAATAGTAGAAATCTTACAATGAACTTGAGATTCTTGGTAGAATCTATTTTCGAATTGCCTTGGGAAATGCAATTTGGGGGATACTGTTTCCAAATACAGAAACCAGATAATTTTTTTTCCTTCTTTAATGAATGGATAAAAAAGTGTTTCGAAATGCGTGTTAACCATACATACTTGAAGCCACATATTTAACTTACATTCTTCTTAAAAAAATAACCCTGGATCTCTCTAGTGTATTTTCTGAGAAAATGAAACAAATTATTTTAATGTGAGAATCTTAATGTATATAGCTAACAAATGGTGAAATAACAACACTTTTTTTATACAAAACAACCAAAATAAACACAACATTATTTGTACATGATTTATTATCATGAGAATAATTTATCTACACACAAAGATTAATATTTGTTATTCAGATCATAGCCTCTACTAAAACCTCTACTAAAAGATTGATTGAAAAAAAAAAAGTAGTACAAAAACGTACGACGAACATTGAATTTTTGGAAGAGTCAATTTTAAGGTTCGGGTCCGTAACTATTGTCATCTCTAACTTGAAAATTGGCTCTTCCAAGAATTCAAAGTTCGTCGTAAGTTTTTTTACTACTTTTTTTTTTTTCAATCAATCTTTTTTAGTAGAGGTTATGATCTGAATAACAAATATTAATCTTTGTTTGTAGAAAACTATTCTCATGATAATAAATCTAGCATGTAAAAATAAAGTTGTGTTTATTTTGGTTCTTTTGTATAAAGAAAGTGTTGGTTATTTCGTCATTGTTAAGCTATATACATTAAGATTCTTACATTAAAGTAATTTGTTTCATTTTCTCAGAAAAGTACGCTAAAAGTTTGGGATATAGGGTTCAATTTTATAAGAAGAATGTAAGTTGAATATGTGGCTACAAAGTATGTATGGTTAACACTTCCATTGCATTTCGAAACATTTTTTTTTTCATTCATTAAAGAGGAAAAAAAATTATGGGAAATGCTACATGTACAGAACACTCATTGAGTGGGACTTACAAAAAATAAAAAATTAAGTGGACCCCACTCCATGTGCGTGTTATGTACATGTAGCATTTTCAAAAAATTATCTGGTTTTTATGTATGTCGAAACAGTATCCCCAAATTTCATTTGCCAAGGCAATTCGAAAACAGATTCTACCAAGAATTTCAAGTTCATTGTAAGATTTCTACTATTTTTTTTTTCTTTTTGTCAAGGATCGTTGAATAACTAATGTTAGTCTTTGGTTGTAGAAAACAACTGTATCTCATGATAATAACCCTAGCATAACATTGTGTTATGTTTATTTCCGTTGTTTTGAAAAAAAAAAAGTGTTTTGTTTAGACATTGTTAGCTATATACGTCAAGTTTTCTTATGTTTACTTTTGTTGTTATGCGAAAAAAAAAAAAAAGTGTTTTCTTTAGACATTAAGTTTACACTTTGGGTAATTTGCTTCAGTTTGTAATAAAAGTCCGCCATGCATAAAGCTTATCGTCATATATTGAATTCCCATGTAGCCATCCTCTTGACAAGTGCTGCTTATCGTTAAGCTCTGCTTTGACAAGTGTTGCTATCAGCTTGAGTTTTGAACTTCTCCTCATCTTCTATTTGCATTTGGGTTTGTGTGGTTGTGCTGAAAAAAGGAATCTTTTGCTTTTCTCATTTGCTTCGAGTGTTGTTGCAGGAAAAGGGTCGCGTGTTGTGTGAAAGAAAACAAATTGGCTTCTGGTGAAAAGAAAACAAATTGGCTTTAGTAATGCCAGTATGGAGCTTTAATTTGATAAGGAAATCAATCTACAGAAGAAGCCGAGTAGTATGTGTTCTAAGGATGAGCTCTGGAAAGATTGTTCTGTCAAAACTGTTTTCCCCTTGTCCAGGTGAGACAACGTCTACCAGTTTTTTTGACTAATTAAGCCTATTCTCATGTTATCATGAAAACATAAATTATTTAACATTTATTTTTCGTTCTTCCAAATTCTATGCTACCAATGCAGAATGAATATGCATTTACTTTCCATAATGATTAACTAATTAAGCCTATTCTCATGTTATCACAGAAATACAAAATCAGATATTGAATAACTTTGTGTATGTAGCGTAGTCAATATGGTGTCATAATCTGCCGGGAAAGTTTGTTGCTTCCTAAGAAATAAAAATATAATGAATAATACAATACTTTTGTTCGACCTGAGATATCTCAACAGGAAAGGTGGCATGATGACCGGCCTCGTTCATTCCTAAATCCTAATCTACGCACTTTCTAGAACAGCAGTGGTCTATGCCTTGACTGAAGATGAACTTGAACCAGTTGATGCTGATGATGTGAACAGTATTTAAAACAATTTATTTCTACATGGCTCAGGCTTAAGGCGAATCTCACCATGCTGAACAATAAAGATAAAGTAAGGCATGTTACATACAGGTCAATGTAAATAAAATCCATAATGTACTTATGGCTGATATCCGATCTGTAATAAATGTATCTCGTACATTGATTCTCAATCGTTCTTGGTTGATAAATTTTCTGGGCTGCGAAGGTATATCCCGAGTATGCGTAACCGAGCAATTGATGGTCATGGATAGCCAGAAGTGAATTGATTGGCTTTGTTGTCAATTGTTTGCTTTATATGAAAATTAGATTTTGTTTTATCCTAGTGTGTTGAATTTGAAACCATAACATTTATGTAAAGATTATGTTTCATGGTACAAACAACCTGTCTAGAAGATTATGTTTCATGGTACAAACAACCTGTATAGAATTAGATAGAGCAGTTGGTTATGTTCTATTGCTGATTTGAATAGTTATTCGTGCATTATATTTAAATTTGGCCTGATGGTTGCTAAATCAGCCTAAGGACTACATGATAGAATCCTGTTTGATTTTGTAAATTTTTCCATAATGAACAAATCAAGTGGACTTTTAAATATGATGTACAATACGTTCGCCTACTACTAACTATATGAGAAGACGCAGTTATGTTTGCTTTTATTTGTATTTTCGCAGTGCCCAGTTTGCAAGCTTTACTCAAATTTTTTTTTTTTTTTTATCGTTAAGCAAGCTTCACTCAATTGATTTCATTAATAGATACAGCCTTATGCTTGCCATACGTTAAAGAACTTGTGGTTCAAACTTTTTGAAAATTATTATNATAGTTTCTCTTCCTCGGATAATTCGGCCGGCTTTGATTTCAACATTTCAGTCAGGTCAGCGGTTTCATATTTTCAGATAATTCAGTCGGTTTCGATTTCAACATCTCAGTCGGTTCGATTAACTGAACCAATAGGGTGCACTGCACATCCAGAAATTACATAAGCTTTGTAATTACTTCAATCACGTTTCAAGAGAACATCAACAAACCACACATGATAAGACAAATAAAACCTCAAATATCATCTTAAAAAAAAACATCCAAATAAGCACACAAACAAACAAACACATCAAGATATCAAGAGCTAACAACATAGCCAGCCTCCGAACCCCTCGTCAGCCTATGTAGCAGCACGCTCGTCGGCATCGAGTCTGTCGTGGGTGACCTCAGCACCTCCGCCAGCGGGCCTCCCATTGGGCCCACACGATTACCTTCCCACGCCATGCCCCAATTCATTTGGGCCCGGCCCACTTCACCTTGGCCTCCCACTATGCGGGCCCCATGCTCATCCCCATCTCCAGTTCCAAGCTTCAAGGAGAAGTCAGAGGGCGCATTCATCGAGATCGACAGATTGGTGGCCGAGGCTGCTGAGCTGGCGGTGCTGTCCGTCTCGTGAAGCGATCTCGGCCAATCGTCGAAAAAGGGCCTAAGTGTTCGGCCGCCGTCGTTTTGGACTTCGTAAGGGCAATCGGTCTCAACTATGGAGTCCAAAGGCCTGCACAAAAGCATAAAAGAAAAAGGTTGGCACAAAACAAGTGGTTGGGGCTCATTCTAAGCAGTAAGCAAACAATCAAACAAAAAGATAACTGGTGGAGGCCACATAGAGAAGTTATTATATGAAGGACCCCTCAATTTGAGCAAAAGATAAAGCTGTTTGAAAATATGAGACCAATTTAATCTTTGAAAATCACTGTATTATACACCAAGCTGGGCCCTTTCTTGCTTTAGGGAAACAAGAATTTAACTCAATAGCTTCATCTTCAATACCCCCACCAAGGGAACCCGTAGAAATAAAGAGCTATTGATAAAAAATGATGAGCAAGTAAACTAAAGATTGAATTTTGTAGTGTAAAAAAAAAATATATATTGAAATTCAATATCAATGCAGTTGATAAAGAAGATTGAACTGATAAAACAACACTCTTCAATGAATAAAACAGTACTGCAAAGACATTTGGACTCATAGCAATACATTTTCCATTTTTGCACACAAATAAATCAGGAAAAAGAATAAAAAACCAAACTAGACAGCATAAACGACCTACCTCGAATCAAGATGAAGAAGATTAGACGAAGTCCCCGAAAAACCGAACTGGGTGGCGGGATGGTTCATCTTCAGGGCATCGCCGCCGCCTCCGCCGGCGGCGGAGGAGGCGGCAGCCGGAGCAGATGGGCTTTCCACAGGCTTTCTTGAACGGTATTTGCCGCGGTGAACATGACGGTCACAATATCTGTGGCCGGGGACGACATCCCTCGAGCACCGCCACTTCTTGCCGTCCGTACGCCGGCACCGACCAGGCTCCGGATCCATCGCCGCCTTACTCCAATATCCCGACTGCACCACTGTCTCAGCCACAAAACCCCCCATTATTAAAACATTATATATCTTTAATCAAATGAATGAAGGAAAAAATTAACACACTGGACCACATAAAGATCGAATCTTTTTACCAAATAGGACAACATCACATTATATTTGAAAAAGTTATCAAAAACAGATATAACAAAGAAAAAGAGGGCTCTGGAGGGGGGACATACGAGGTGGCTGGTAATGAGGATAGTACTGATAAATGGGGTTACAAACGTAATATGGAGAATTTGCGAGGCCCTTCTTGACAAGATGTAGTAGTTCAGAAGGAACATCGGCTCCGGCTATCATGTGTCTGAAAATCAAAGCCTGGAGCTCAAGCTCCTGCCACTGGGCTGAGCTGAAATAGCTCCCTGTCCCTGAGAAGCCCATATTGTAAAAGTATCAAGAAAACAAAAAAGATTCTTTCTTTAAAACAAATTCATAGCCTAATGGTGAAAAACATATCAAGATATACAAAAAGATTCTTTCTTTGAATAAAAGCCCATGTAGAAAGAGAGAGAGAGAAAAAGGGATTACTGGTGAGGTTAATGGTAGGGGTAGTGGTGGTAGAGTTTTCTTGAGGGGCAAACAATGGAAGGGTAGAAATGGAATATTGGGGTGAGTGGTGGTGTGGTTGAGAGGTGAGGTGGAGCTTAGGGAGCTTTGGAGGTGTTTGTTGGTGGTCTTCAGCTTCATCTGATCCATCTCCCCAGTGTTGCATTAGGTGNACTTAAAGCTATTTCTTCTTCTTTTTCTTTTTTTTTTTATTTATTTTTTTAATTATTTTATTATTAACTTTGAATGAAAGGTGATCGATTTTAATACAGTTTTGCATTATATAATAAGATTAGATGTAAAAAGTAAATAAAAATAAAAGGCTTTTTAGTTGAATCAAAGAAGATGTAGCGGATTTGCCAGACGGTTGAGGGCTTAACGTGGCGCCCAATTACTATTGGAAGACGGGCCGTCTCGATGCCTTTCTTGATGTTTGCCGATGATCTACTGCTCTTCTTGGAGGCTTTAGACGAGCGGCGTTAATACTTAAGCAGGTCCTTGACCACTTTTGTCGTTTTTCGGGCCTCAAAGTGAGCTCGGAAAAGACTCTAGTTCTCTTTTCTAATAACGTGGATAGCGAGGAACAACATCGACTCGTGGGTGTCTTAAACTTCAAGGGGATGGACAACTTGGGCAAATACCTCGGTATGCCGATCATCCATGGACGAGTGTCTCGTGATACGTATTCACATATTTTGGAAAAAACGGAGTCAAGGCTAGGGTGGCGCATGAAATTTCTTTCACTGGTCGGGAGGGTAACGCTTACACAGTATGTGCTAAGCACATTGCCCTTCTATTCCATGCAGTCTGTTATGCTTCCTTGTGCCATCACAGACGGTCTTGAAAAACGGAGTCGGGCTTTTATTTAGGGCGACACTGACGAAAAAAGGAAATTACATCTGGTGGCGTGGAAAGATGTTTGCGAACCTAAGGATGAAGGGGGTCTGGGTATCAAGGAACCCCGTAGCATGACCTTCGCGTTTCTAATGAAATTAGGGTGGGATGTTCTGACAAGACCGGATTCTTTATGGGTTCGCATTCTGACGGCGAAATATGACATTAACCCTTTTTCTCGATTGGCTACCCTCCGATGCCGACGGGGATCGGCTTTGATGCGTGCTCTCAACAAAGTCTCAACAAAGTCTGGCCCGTCGTTGTGAAATGAGCACGATGGGTTATTGGTAATGGCATCACAGCCTGCTTCTGGCTGGACCCGTGGCTCAGCTTAGATCAACCTTTACTTGGATATGCCTCTTGCCAACTGCGGGATGCGATCCTCCACTTGACAGTCGCCCACTTCATTGATGAATTTGGCTAGTGGAAGTGGAGTTGGCTCCATGGGATTTTTCCCTTGCATGTAATCATGCTTATTGCGGGCACGCTTCCCCCGAAATCGATAGCGGGAGAGGATCACATCATATGATTTTCCAACGATGGTAAGTTCTCTACGCGCACCGCTTACAAAGCTCTAGTCAATTCTGGCCCGGATCCTGATCGCCCGCTCTGGAAAGTGATTTGGCGTACGACCGCACCGCAACGGACCCGAACTTTTCTATGGCTTGCTACAAAAGGCCGACTACTTACCAACGAGGAGAGGCTGCAGCGACATCTGTCCATCTCGGCGACCTGCGACCTCTGTGGAGAACGTGAGTCCGTGTTGCATGTCTTACGGGACTGCCCGTCCGCTAAAAGCTTATGGCCCAAGCTACTTTCGACTGGTAGGACTTTTTCCAGCAACCCCTTTGCCTCTGGTTGTGGTAGAACTTGGTAAAGTCCCGGCTGGAAGACGTCGCCCATTGGAATACCCTATTTGCAGTCGCGACTCGGCGTACGTGGAGGTGAAGAAATGACCGTGTGTTCAACCAACGAGCTGTTAGTTGTGAGATGAGGTACATGGAGGTTATGCGTATAGCCCGTAATTATGGCCGCACAGCGGCAGCTTCCGTGCAAGCCGGAGCCGCTCTCCATGTTACTCGTATGATCCGTTGGTCTCCGCCACCTTCGGGGTGGATTAAACTCAATATGGACGGTGCTCTTCTTCTCGCAACGGGAGTGGGTAGTTCTTGTGGCCTTCTTCGCGATGAAATGGGCCGCTGGCTTAGTGGCTTTCTCATGAATATCGGCGTCTGCACAATAGCAGGAGCCGAGCTTTGGGGTCTTATACAGGGTTCGCAGCTGGCTTGGGACCTGGGATTTCGTCGAGTGATTGCCAAAGTTGATAGCCAATGTGCCACGAAAAATGGTACTTGGTTCTGAGGACAATCTTGGAGCTCATGAGACCATTGTCCTGGCCATTCGCGGTATGCTTCAATGGGATTGGCATGTTCGACTACAACATATGCATAGGGAGGCCAATTTTGCCGCCGACCATATGGCAAGCTTAGCGTCTACCTCTTCTGTTGGATTACAGCGCGTCTCCTCTCCTCCACATAGCATGGGCGCCTGGTTTGATCACGCTATCCTCAGAGTGTCATACTCTCAGCGAGTGCTTGCGTCTCTTCTCTTTTGTCCTTTAGGCCTTAGGTTTAATTAGTGAGTTTTCTTCGGTACATTGCTTGCATCATAATTCATTACTACTTTAAAAAATTATTATTTTAAATAATAAGTTGATGTGAAAAATGTCAAAATCTGATTACCTAGTTAAATTAAAAAAAATATAAATAACTAAATCAGTTAGGGCGTACTTGGATACAAATATATCTGCTCAAAGTGAGTTGTTTTGTTAATCAGTATTAATTTTGAAAAAATTAGTATGAATAGTTATTAGTGGAAATTTGACTTTATTTTAAAATATATTTAAAATAAAATAATTAAAATTAATTTGATGTACGTAAAAGTGTGATAGAGATTATGTGAAGTTATTGCTATTAAAATTATGTGAGTGGATGAATAGTGAATTAAACTTAATGTGATATATGAAAATAATTGGTTGATATTATTTAATTATATTGATAATATTAAGGATAGTGGAGTTGAGTTAAAATTATGGTTAGATTTTAAATATGAGTTGATATAAACAAACACACCCTTAGCATAAATAATTGTTGATGAATGTCTATAATATTTTAGTATGTGCATCCTTTATACTAGTAAGAAGATGCACGTGTTGCGCACGTAATGTTATTGTTTTTTTGTAACATAAAATTATTTTTATTATTATATTTATATTTAATAGTATAATATAATTTTTATAACATTAATTTAACAAAAAAAATGTATATTTAATGATAAAAAATAATAAATGAATTGAATAATGAAATATAATATTTAATACTATTAATTGAACTCTATGATAAGTAGAATCGAATAAAAAATCTTTGGGTTGAAAATTCAAAAAATAAAGTTAATATTATTTTTTGTAAAGTATTAAATGCTAAAGAAATCTGTGTCATCTTTAATTTGTTATTTAATGATATTCTCATTATGTTTAAAATAATATTCATTATTAGTCTCATAATATAGTTTTTGAATGTCTTCAATTTGCATCATACTCTTTAAAAAATAACTCAAATTTGATATAACGATCATTTGTAATGATCATTTTTTCATTGTTCATTGAAAACTAGTCAACTATGTTGAATGTTTATTCTTTATTATTTTGACTATTGTGGGTGCAAATTCAATTATATTTGCAAGGATAATGTGTCATAATACCTAGATATTTATTCTCCCTGGATAAAGTAAATAAATATTTTAAAATATTTTTAAAGTCATAATTATTTTCTTAAAAAAATTACATGAAAATGATTAGAAACAATACCGTCATTGATTGATTAAAGGTACTCATTTATCTATATACATTATCCAACATTGGTTGATTGAAGTTACACATCTACATATATTATCCAACATAAATTATTGTTGAATCTCCTAACATTGTCTTGCATGTAGTATCATTTTCGTTCACATATTTTCAAGACTATGCTAAATGTTAGAAAAAGATAATAATAATTCGAGTTTAAATGAATTATAAAAATGGCGATCCTCTTATATTAAGATTATTTTTATATATTCGTCCAATATTTTATACAGTTTATTTTCCCTATGAAAAGATTTGAAATATTTAAATTATGAGCGATTTTATAAATAAGATTGACTAATGGCAACAAATTTAAAGTAAATGTACCATTCCTTTTAATTTAATCGATTTTCATTGTAACTATTTTCTAATATGTACACGTATTTTGAAATTTAATATTTAAAATCGAGTTTTGATTATTTTATTTTCATAATTAATTTATTTCTATTTATATTACAATTAAAATAAATGATAGATTAATTTATGTAACACATAATATCATAATAAAATTTTTATGTTGTACATACTATTAACAGAAAAATTAAATCATATTATGCATAATGTTATAGTGAATACTTTAAACGAAATATTTTTATTAAGATTACATATTTTTCACTAAACAAATAATTTTTTTTTCATAGAAATTTGACATTTCGTATGTTGAAAAATTAATTTTGATTCAATCATTCTTAGACATATGCATGTTCATTAAATTGTTTCTCTTTAATTTTTTTAATACTATAGCAAAAAATATCTATAGTAAACAATATGATATTTGAAAATTAGACATGAGTCAACTTTACTACAACATATTTCTCAGCTTGCCTTCTTCCACTAGATCCCCAATTTGCTCGCCGTCAATTCCTCGGCCTTCATCAATTCTCGCAGGTTGAACTCCTTTAGCCGTCGTCCGGGATCGTTGGTAGACGGCCTCCACCGCTCATCCATGGCTTCGGCGCTCTCATCCTCAGTCTGACGCCACTGGGTAAGGGCTAGGGTTTCAGCGGATTCTTTTTCTGCTCAATGGCCGCCGGAATTCAGTGGTATCGGGGCTTGACAGGGTACGGAGGTGCGTGGATGAGGCTTGAGTTGCTTGAGTCGGCTTTGGTCGAGGCGCCTCTTCTTTCCCAGCTTGGAGGTCTGCCCGATTGTGGATTTTCGGTTTCTGCCGCGGTCTGGTCGTCGGCTCCTTGTTTGTGCAGGGGTGTTGGGTCGGGGTTAATCCTTGCGGGATGGGTTGGAAGGATGTCGCTTCGTTCGGGTAGGGTCGGAGTATCTGAGCGTTGACGCCATTCGTCCCCTTCCTCCCCTTCTCTGTTCGTGAGTTCGTGGGAGGCCGACTGTTTACGGAGTTGGCTAGTGGTGATAGGCGACT